GATTTTGCACGTGGAAGTGGCCCATGAAGGTGTCGTACACTAGCCGTTGTTGTGAGTTAAGCTGGTCACGCCAGTGAGGGCCAAGGACCTCCACATCGTTGGCTATAGGGTGGCTAGCGATAAGGTCTTTCCAGTGGCTGTCTCGAAATTCCGGATAAGTGCCCACATGCCGTGTCCAGTCGTAATTGACGTCGATATTGCGGCGGCCAAGTAGGTCAAGACCTTCCTGGGTAAGGGGGTTGTCAGGTAAAAGGGCGGCGAGGCGGATCCAGTCTTCGTCATCAAATTCCTCCTCCACAGGCAGAGTCTCGTACTGATCTTCTTGGGGTTGTAATCGAGCCTCTTTTGGCCGGCCGTAATGGTCATCACCATGGCTGTGGTGCTGCCAACAATAGGAGAAGGCCTTAGCGTGAGAATTAAAACGCTGGCCGTCAAATGTGAGGAGCTCATCAAACCGGCGATGTGGGTGGTTCAATGTTAGCTTTACGCGGCAGTAATCTGGCCACTGTTGACCTTCTGGATCAGCCTGATAACGAGGAAAGTAGACTAATACACGAGGCCTGCCGTTAACGTTGCCCGGCTGCCATTGCTTCCACATGGAAGGGTTCCTAGAGCGGAAGTTCCAGTATTTGAGAAATGAAACATATGTCAGATCCTCTAGGTCTTCTGGGCGTTGACGGTACTTTTCGTAGACGTTGGGGGCCTCGTCAACCTCATCGCCGTCGATCCGTAGGGAGCGGGAATGCCTGTCAGGATTACGGCAGTCAACGTGTAGGCAGGTTCGTGAGCCCTCCTGTAACGGCAGGCCGAGGAGCAAGTGGCTAACCTCCTGCTTCGAGTAGTCTCGCTCAGCAACTAGCTGATTTAGGAGCTTTGACGTGAAGGAAATCAGGGGGTTGTGGTCCTTGACCCGGGGCATCAGGGCCTTCCCAATCTGAGCAAACGACTCGCTCTTCTTTTCCGACTTGGAGCAGTATTTGGCTGCGTAATCGATCACCTGCTGTAGGCTCGTGCAGGGCGAGACATCTGTATTGGCTAGCCACGCAACGGTAAGCAAGCGGTTATAGTGATTAATCTGGCTATCGTTGCGCTCGCCCCTGAAGCTCCAGTGCTTAGAATGAGGAACCTTGTCAAGGGAGGCTAGTAGGCGCTGCGCGTGAGGAAATCCAAAGCGGCACTCTACCTGCTTGGTATGCTTATTGAGCTGCATACAGTAGTTGTTGCAGCGGTGGCGTTGCACGCGGTTGACTACCATTGATAGGAACTGAACGGTGAGGGGATGATCCAATAGATTACTGATCAGGGGATTCCCTTCCCCAGGCGCCTGTATCCGCCGAGGCTCTGGGTTAACAGCAGATACGTGATATCCCCAGATTCGGGCGAATCGCTCCCGGGACTGACCATTATCAGGATCTAAGTCTGGGTGACCACTTAGCCAATATAGGCCATGGTGGTGACTGGAACCCCTGCCCTGCCACTCGTAGCGACCCCAAAAGTCCGTTAGGTTAAACTTCTGCTTCAGGACAAGGGTCCTAAACAGCGTATAACGCTTATGGAAGTGGTAAGCGGCAATGTGGGCGTTGTCTCTCAGTAATTGCCGGGACAGGGCCATCCGCGCCGCCTCAGGAGCTGCTTTCCACTCTTGAAATCGAGGCATATGACGATAAAGGGACTCCCAGTGGTAATCAGCCGCACTTGCTGTAACGAAAAGGCCAGGCCTGCCTAGATTGTAGGCATATGCCTCCAATTCCTTCCTTTGCTTATACCAATATGGCCGGGTGCCCCTGATTACGGCGGCTTGGCGCGTGATCGACTGGATCAGGGCCTGAGCCTCTGGCTCGTCAGGCTTAGCCATCGCTTCCTCTATGTCAGCGCGCGTAAGGGGTTGACGGCGGCCTTCGTGTTGCTTGACTAAGTAGTTGCTTCGCTTTCTGACCTGCGCACGTAACAGCGTGTTGAGGGCGACGAAAGGCCACGTCTTATGGCGGGCAAAACGTCCGTCTTGCCATCTCATCGCATGGGCAAGGTAGTCCTGGTACGTGATGCTCCGTAGGCGAGGCTCCACGAAGTCCGCCTTGCCGTCAGGGTAGAGAGTAGGGAACGCAAGCGTTAACAGCGGCTGGGAACGGTTAAATTCGTTGATAGGAGTCCTGCGAATGGAAGGTAGTGGCATCTGGTGTTGAGCCTGCGCGCTAGGCGGCATATGCTCAAGATCGGCCATACGCTCGGGGTCGGGGGTACCATGAAGGAATCGGGACTGCAGGGCGTTTAATTCGGTATCGGTAACCTGCAAATTCGGGATCGCCGATGCGTCTGCATCGCTAGGATCCTCTTCTACAGCCTCCTCAACGGGGCCTTGGGGGACCTCGCCGTCAGGTATGTCAGCCACTTGGCAAGCGATGGAAGCAACTATGCTGCCGTCAAGAGGAAGCCGTTGCAAGCGATCCTGCCTCACGACGATATCGCGATAGCCCGGGTGGTGGCGCTGTAGGTAATGCAGCCAGGCCAGCAGACATGAGCGGCGTACCCGGAAATCGCGAGCGAACTGCTGCTGCAAGCGAGGGTCGCCCTCCATATCAGGAGGCCGCAGGAGTACGATGTCTAGCTCTTCAGGTAGGACTGGGAGCTCTTCAAATAGCCTACCAACATTGCGAAGGAAGTGGACAACGTGACCGCGGTATTTGTATTAAGCACCACGTACCTGTAGGACCTTCACGTGTACGTGAACCCTAGCAATCAGCATCTCCTCAACCATTGTTAGGCCAGGTAGATTACCGGGGACTTCCCCGAAGTCAAGGTTATTCGCAGCGCTAAAGAAGTAGGGCTCGTTAGGGGTTCTCTCCCTGTCTCGACTAATGCAGCGGCTGCAGATTTTCAAGCTATTTCTCTTCATATCGAACCAATGCTCCCGGCAGCGAATGCAGCTATGCATCTGGTCGTCATTCAGGGCAGTATAGAACTCCCGCACAAGGGCCTGATCTTCCTCACTAAGGGCAGGCAAGTTAAGGTCCCCTGTAAAAGGTGGATCAACTATCTGATCAAACTGTCGCTCTTCAGCATGTGCGCTTTGACGTGTATAGCGGCCGCGACGATGACCCTGTGGCAATAATGAAGGAGTGGTAGGGAACGATTCCTGTGGTATAGGCGTTCCTAGCACAACAGGAGGCGTTGGAAGAGTGCCTTGAGGAATTGGCGTTTGAGGAATCGGCGTGCCCAGAACTACTGTTGGCAGGCAAAGGGTAGGAGGGATAGGGGAAGGTCCCTCTACCGCGCTTGGGGTAGATGGCCCCAGCAGAGGTCTAGGCGGTCCCTGGAGAGCGGGCGCCAGGCCACGGAATAAAGCAGGTGCGGCAGGAGGTTGTAAGCCGTGCACAGACGCAGGCGTTGGCGCAGCCCGCCTTGGAGGCGTCAGGTTAGCTAGAGAATCGGTCCTTTTCGTGGCTCGGCGTGGCGATAGCCTTGAGGCGATATTCCGCATGGCGGCAACGGCGGCTCGGGATCCGGTTTCCCGTTCCCTTCGGCGTGCCCTACAGCTAGCACACTCTCCTGTAAGCTTCGCAGGGTCCTTGACGCTTCGAAATTCGACTTCGGGCAGGTCTTGCTTGCAGGTACGGCAGTTCCGAACCGCCTGGGGTATATCGTCCTCCATCTGACCGTATATATATCCACCTCATACCCACCTAGACTGCTAGATATCACTCGGGCAGAGAGGCTTTGCGACGGCTTACGTCCAATACCATGATAGATCTCGATAGAGAGGTTGTCTTTGAGGTAGTTAGATCAGGTCTGAATGATCAGGGAGGAAACTGCACTGCTTCCCGGAGGCGGGATAACCGAGGAATCTTGAGAGGTAGGCCGGCTGCGGAGGTAATATGTGAACCTAGATACCGTTAGCAACCTGATGGGTTTGATTTGATAGATTCGACGGAAAGGGAAGCAGCCGCCACGTAGGTTAGTGTAAGGAGCAAGGGGCACGGGGCTTATTCAGTCAGAATCGTGCTTAGAAACCCAACATATTGATTGCATTGAAGAAAAGAAGAACCTGAAAGCTCTTGGAGAGCTTGCCAAGCTAGTTACCTTGTCAACGCTCAGGGGTTTGTGGGCCTTCATTTTGGTGGCCGACCAATTCGTGCACGAGTTGAGCACAGGCCAGGCCAATTGGCCAATCAGAAGAGGTTTTATGGTCTTCTTTCTGACTGAGTAAAACGCCCTTCGGGCTGAATAACCGCACTCCGTGTTAGACTCATGCCTCATCACGGGAAGCTGGCCCCAATGCGCTAATATCGAGATTTATAATACCAGCCGATGGATGCCTAAGATCCGACCATTGAGCACTATGTCTCGGTGCACCTGACCTTGGAACCCAACCAACAGAACTGCCAATAATTGCACAAGGGCTAGTAGTCCGACACTATGCCTCCTCAAATTAACTCCTGTTTCTTTGAATCGTTTATTATGTACTCATTAGAAGTAAGCCATGCGCAATCTTTTGCCAACATTCCTTCCTACTCCATAGCCTTCATATCACTCACTACCTAGGGACATTGACAGAGGGGTCAACTGAATTGTAGAATGTCAGCATGAAAAAAGTCATTTCATATTTTTCGAGAAATTTCTCGATGATAATATCTCACTTTGGAGTCGTTTCTACCTATGCAAAGGTGCCATCTCAACAACTAGAAAATGAGAGTTGGTTGCAACATCTGCGCTATGAATTGATAGCTCCAACGCAGTGATTGTCTGTGACGATAATATAGCCGCAACTAGCCGAGCGGAAAGACCAGGTTTGCGGCTTTGTCAGCCGTCCCGCCCGATCACGGCGGTATCACGTGAGGGACAGAATTCTGTCCCCTGAAACTACAGGGTGGGCAAAAGCTCCTGTTAGCACCACGAAGTACCACGGATGGTTAATAGAGCAACGGGAGAATAAATAATAGTTAATATGGCATATTAAAGAGCATATAATAGTTCTACTATTATTATTACATACTTAAATACGCTTATCCTTATTTTATATATATAAATAAGCTACGTGTTATAAAAAAAAAGAAAGATAAAGAGTATGATTCGCTTGCATTAATAGATAAATTGCTATTGCTAGGTTTCTAATATTCTACTCTCTATTTCTTACCAATAATCTCAGCTGCCTGCAGGGCCGTTGCGTAGAGAACAACCTGAATATTTCCAGAGATAGATTGGGGGATGATCGATGCATCAACCACACGGAGTCCCTGAACGCCCAAGACCTTCAGGTCCTTGTCCACGACACGGCCCATGGCAGCGGTACCCATGGGGTGGAAGATTCCACTGATTTAAGGTTAGCAATATCTCCAAAAGAATAAAGCCCTCTGATATCACGACTTACGTTAGTCCAGCCCGAATACGAGCATCGATCTCCTCGTCAGTTGAAGCCGTAGTTAAGGGCTTGGCGCCAAGTTCTCCGCTGATGATTTCTCGGCCAACAACAGTCTTGTTGCTTGTGAGCAATTCAATATCATGCTTCACAGCTTCCCTTATGGCATAGCGATCAACTTCAGTGCCCATAAAGTTGGCATTGATAAGGGGCGCGTCCTTGATCTTAGAGGACGAGAGACTTATCTGGCCACGGGACTGATCGATGACAAGTACGGTCATGCTAATCACAGCGGAGCCATCCTGAGATGCACCAGCGTACTGAATGGTATGGGTAGCCATGGCACGCTCCTGGTTAAGGAGGGGATGGGTCTTCGGATTAGGCTTCTTGCCCGTATCCTTCTCGATTGCCTTGGCCAAGCCATCCTTGGGCACGTCGACAGTGGTGACAAAGTCGAGGTAGAGGCCAAGGCCGTACTGCGGCTGGTTGAAAAGAGGGTTTCCAGACTCAACAGCCCAACCTTTGGAAGGGTCCTTCAGTCCCCATGCTGTAACAAAGACGGCGTGGTCATGCAGGTTTTGGCCAACCTTGGGAAGATCCAGCTGAACCTTGATACCGTGCTTTTGTAGCTGCTCCTTGGGACCGAGACCAGACAGCATAAGAAGTTGTGGCGTACGGTAAGCACCAGCAGAGAGAATAACCTCCTTGCTGCGGATTTGGGTGCCGTTGGCGAGTTGAACACCCTGAGCCACCACCTGACCCTTATGAGACTTCTGAGTGATGACCTTCTGGACTAGTGTCTCGGTCAATACAGTCGCCTTGTCGATTGGGAACACCAAGGAGCTTTGCTGGCGGCGGCCGTGGTTGCGGTTCTCTTGCATCTCGCCGATACCCATGGGGTTGCCGCGGTTGTGGTCAAAATCCGGGGCTGGGCTGATGCCGAGCTCTTCCCATGACTCGATAAGGGGCTTGCGCATGGGAAAGGTCCGGTTGAGGGAGCTGATGGATTGCACCTTCATGTTGCCCTCGAAGCCATGCTGACTCTTGTCCGTGTCCTGAGTGAAAAAGGACTCAGTCTGCTTCATGTAGGGCAGGAGACCCTCGTAACTCCATCTCTCATCGCCCACAGCCTTGGCCCAGAGGTCATAATCAACGGAGTGCCCACGAACCCAGGCAGCTACAAAAGTCAGTGAGCAGATGGGCTAGGTTAATACTTTGCGAAACTCACCTCCGTTAATAAGTGTGCCACCACCCAAGCCCTTGCCAGCGTTGGAAGGGATAGATCGACCGTCAAGGTGCGTCTGGGGAACAGATGCATAGCTCCAGTCAAAGTCGCCGCCTTGACCGTTGGTTGAGTTAGGCCAGACGATATCCTGTCGATCATTCGCATTGATGCCCGCCTCAATGACCAGGATCTTGAGATCCGGATCCTTCTCAAGGAGCTCATGGACCAGGACCGAGCCACATAGGCCGGCACCGACGACGATGTAATCCCAGAGCATTGTTGAGTGGTGGTACCGAGGTGGGGAGATGTCAGGGTGTGGTGAAAGATCTGCACGTTGAGTTCAGCAAGAGGAACTCCAAGATATATCTACTCTCGCAACGGTAGCATTGCTACGCACGATCGCATGTAGGCCGGATCGCTCGGGCTGCTTAACCGATTGCAAGCATGAGAGAACCATGGCGCGGTCATCTCCACTGCCCAAAGCTCAATTTCCGGGACATTCATGATCCGGAAATGCCATGCAGGGTTCAGTACTCGAGGCCTCCAGGTTGAGCAGCTCCCAAGTCTCCATGGCAGAGTACCCAAGGGTGAAGAGAACTGAAGCTAAAAACGGTGATCAGCCCGTCAGCTTCCTTCGTCCTGCTCGCTACGAAGCGATCCATGGGTCGGTTCTCTAGCAATCAGCTGAGGCATTATTGCCCATGTCTCCTAGCACCCGGATCCCCGTCGGAGCAAGGACACATTCTAAGCACTTCCGATGCAGAAGGATTCATGAAATTTGTACTAGCCGGCCTTAATACCGGATTTATCGAGGTGACCGTCTGCAAGGGACGGTTTCATCCATGCAGAAACCTTGAGATGTCTAAATTACTGATTTCGCCATCGCCATAATATGTAATCGTTCCTTCGGGATTCCCCAGACTCCGCGGGCATCAGCTGATCCGGGTGTTGCTCCCGGATCCCCTGCCAAGGCTCTATTCGTCCCATCTGGGGGATGATCTGCCGAAAGGTCTGTGTTGGTTCGGTGATCTGTGACCCTTGCAAACCCTGTTCTCGCTAGGTATGAGTGCATCAGGGGTTGTCCCATGAAAGGAGGATAACCGAGCCCACCCTCATCGACTCTTTCTGGCGACACGCAGAACTCTAAAACTGTATCGCTGATTACCAACCACCTGATGGGATAATAAGATCCAAGGGAAAGGTTCCTGGCGACGAACCTTAACAGTGTGGTTCGCCAAGGTCGGGACTTGAGTCTGCAAAGGGAAATACCGACCATTTGCCACCTGTTGGCTGTTGGTTGTTGGTTTCCAGGTCTGAACAGGGTTGCAGTGAAAATTTCTTTTGCTAGAATCCTCCCCGTCCTTCCTTCAAGGGGAAGGAGAGGGGGTTGCAAGTGTGCGGCTGATGGCAAAAGATGTGGGTGGTAATTCTGTCCGAAGAGGACGGCATCGCCATGTATTTTGAGTCAAGTCTGAACCTTCCTCATTGCCAACAGCGTTGATTCTACAACGTTGAACCAACAACCATCATGACAGCCCTGAATGTGTTGGCACGATCGGAATCAGGGCCACCATTCAAAGAAAGGTTCCCTCCTTTGTCGCCCGAAGGAAAGGGGCTTCTCGCGGCTGTGATAGCCATGTGGGTTCTCGCAACCGCTTGGACTGGCATGCGGATCATCTCGAGGAACATCAGAAAGTCGGTGTATTATGCTGAAGATTACCTCTACTTTATCGGATTTGTAAGTATGTCAACTGTGGATGGTTGTCCTCACAATTTAACCAGTGCTTGTCTAGGCCTTGTTCAATGGCTTGTGCATCACCTACGTACTTGGTACGATCGTCCCTGGAGTATCTGCCAGAGGAGAAAGCTAACAGATCACAGCCATCTGTGTAGGAGGAGCGGGAAATGATATTGGCCGCCTGTCCGAACATCACATGTACCACTACACTCGAATTTCGATCGCCAACCAGACCATGTACGCCGCGACGCTTTGCTTCATCAAGATCAGTCTGGTTACTATGATCCAACGTGTCTTCGCCGCCTCCACGTCCGTCACCCTTCGTATCGCCAGCTGGGTGACCATTGTGGTCATTACCTGCTGGGCATTGTACACGATTCTACTCGGCTTCTTCATTTGCTTACCTGTGGGAGCCACTTGGGGCGCCGCCACGCCTACAAGTTGTGGAAACCAGACTGTCGCATATTCAGCGGTAGCAGTTATAGACATAATTTCCGAGGTGATGATCGTTGCCTTGCCCATGAGGCTACTGTCTGGGTTGCACATCGCGAGACCACACAAGATTGGTCTCTTTCTAGTTTTTGGCGCCGGAATCGTGTAAGTTGTGATTGATAGCATCTTCTCCCTCCTGTCAGCGAAGGTTGTACGAACTGACCCGACCTCATCACAGCACAATTGTCTTCTCTTGTGTCCGCCTCAAATACGCCCTGAACATCGACTTCGATAATGTCACCAAGTCCTTCGCCGTCGCATCAGTCTCCTCCATCCTGCAAGCAGGAGTTGCCCTTATGGTGGCAAGCTCCCCGATCCTCCGACCCGTCTTCGATCGAACCATTCTCCATTGGCTCGGCATCTCGATTCGTAGCACCGGCAGGAATACAAGTAGCAATCCTACAGGCGGGCCCCCCGCATCCCGCCATCACGCATCGGCCGGCTACCACGATGCAAGCAGAATAAGCCATCACAAGGGATTCAGGCAAATGACAGAAAGCGAGGAGCACTTGGCATGGGAGCTAAGAGATATGCAAGGGAAAGGCGGCGAGCAACGGACTACAATAAAAGCCCAAACCACGTTGTCTGATAATAGCAGCGACAGACGGTCTAGAGCGGAGAGTCCCAGCAACGGGCAGATTATTGTTACACAGGAGACCATTGTCAGGTAGAGCGGTTAAGGCTCTTGTTTCTTGCACTCGATGTGGGAGGAGAGGTCACTGAACGAAGAATATCTAGGTCATGTTTAACACGTTACTGCTTCCTTTAACCCAATTATAAAAAGAATAAAGATCCCTTTTCTCATGGGTAGTCGGCCCTTGCCTTGCTGATAGCATTGGCCAGATTTTGACCAGATGCGAAGCCAGTGCCCTCCTCGCCAACTCCACTCAGAACGCCGTACAAATAAGGGGACCCGCCCTGCTCGAGCCAGAGCGGGCCTCCTGACTGACCTGGGATTCCGTCTGCATCTGTCTCTAGAGGGCCGCCCGGGGCACAATCAGCACATCGAACCACCGAGATACCCTCTTGGCGATAAGGCTTCGACGACCCCTTGTCGCCTGGGTATCCCACATGAAGCTAGTACATGTCAGAAATGAACTTTGACCAGGCACCACGCCCTTGGAAGAGATACGTGGGGGACCTTACAAAGATTGGCTTATTCTTTTGAGCGTCACAGTCGATGGTTGTCGCTCCAAGGTATCCAAACGAGTCACCCAAGCGATCAGCCAGAATGAAGATAGCCCAGTCCTCCATCTGGAAGCAAGGCCCGTCACCTTGTTCCATATCGATTATTTCAACGGCATCAGATCCCCCGGCTCTCTCACCATCATAGTACATGGGTTGAAAGCGCGTCGTAACACCTTCGGGTGGAACGCAATGCTTTGCGGTGGCAACATGTCGAGGGCCGACCAGGGCGGCACTGCAGCTCCCGCCGTCAGATCCAGAGATTCGCCCTATGGCGCTGTAGGGGTATTCTTGAGAGTCCCATAGGACACGATCATCGGCTCCAATGATGGCTCGAATCTTGAGAGGATCGGTAATGTTGGACGGCTTGGGATTATGGCCGCCAAAAGGCTTGAGATCTTCTCTAGACACGGTCTTGACCTTAGGAACTGGGGCTTCTGAGCTTCTTGCATGATTGGTCATGTACAAACCCCCTGAGTGGCTTGGGCCGGGACTGTTGGTGGGAATGGCCAAGCCAGTTCCCCCGAAGGCAAGGATGGCCGCGGCCATGAAAGATGTGATAAGAGCCATTTGCAGGGCTCTTGGAAGAGGCTTAATCTCACCCAACTGGATTTCGTATGCTGTAAGAGCGCCCTTTTGTGTCTTATTGTAGGTATGGGCCCTCTCAGAGCCCTTTGTACTTACATAAGAGACCAAGGATGATATAGCCCCCAGAAGGATCCGAGTTTCATCCTTGTTGCAACATGCCCAAAAAGTGCATCAGCACTAACAATCCTTTGGAAGATATTCCCCAAATATCTTCAGTCGAAGGAATAGCTCTTGCCCTGTGAGGCGTTTCACAAGCTCTGTTTGGACCGTGAAAACTCCGTGTGCTTAGCGCGCAGTGATGGCGTCTCACTGATACAACCCTCTTTGTTCTAATCATAGCAATCAGCCCTGTGATCTATATAAGTCTTATTCCAGACAATCTAGCTGGGCTCACTTTGCATGATATAGCAGGGAGCAAGGTTGCTGTATCTTCAGGTAATCATAAGAGTAACATCGTTAGCGGGAAACGCAAGGTCATGTCATCGGGTCAGAACTCGCCAGTTGTTGGGCCTCAAGCACGCCAGTTTGGAACAGGGCTCAAGGGCTAGAAGGCTCTCAGGACGCTGGATGAGGAAGGGATGCAAGATGAAGAAGGAGGATTGTGGCAAGGCCGTTTATTTCACATGGGTGGCATAACATGATGCCCATTGCATAACTCGCACATATTAGAAAGCCCTCGTGATCAAACACACACGCATGACGATTGTGCATCTTCTATATAGTTAAAGTGCCTTCCTAATCGATGCATACCGTTTAAATAGTCAAAATAGTCTGGAAGACTCGGAGATCTAGGTAATAGTCAAAGTCATGTTCTCTATCTAAGGAGTGAAGTTTTCATGATCGATATGCATGAAAACACCCCTTCTAAACTTCTGGCTTCTGACCGTAGACCTTTCTCACCCAGTAAAACGGATGGTACTTTTTGTTGTTCCGGAGCTCTCGTCGAAGCTGTGCACAGTATACACGAACTTCGTCCATCGTCCAGCCGAGTAGTTGGCTCGCCATGTACAAAATATAACCATCAAGGTCCTGCTCAAGGGCAGCATGCACAAACTGGCCAATTTCCTTGTTCTTCGGGTCCTTCGCCCACCCACTGATGGGGACCTAACGTAAGGTATTATTATCATGAACCCTTCTCCGTCGTGATGTCAATACTTGCCTTGCGGTTGTCGATGTGGATATTGATAAAGCCCGCTTCTTCCATGCACTTCCGCTGCACGTCGTCCTCGAGGATCGTGAAGGTCTGGCCCATCTTCTTTCCGCCCTCAATGAAGAACTTACCCCATTCGTGCATGGCACTGTCTTCCGTTACAGTGCCGTCATCACTCTGCATCATCGCTGAGGCTTCAAGACTTTCAGCCCAACCGCCTGGCTTACAGGTTTTGTATGCCTGGTTGATTAGGAACGACCAGTCTTTGATGCTTCCGTAGAGAAACCGCATGTGCACAAAATCCACAGAGTTGGGCTCGAAAGTCCATTCCTGACTGCAGTCGTCAATCTCGCTGCAAAGCCAAGGTTAGTTGCTTTACAGACATGGAAGTGAGCGAGCTTTTGCAACTATACAAAGGCTGGAGTCACCTACAACTTCAGGTTGGGTGGGATCCAAGAAGGTTGGATAGGCGAGATGTCTGTTCCAACAACTTCCGTGTTGGGGAACTCGTCGGCAAAATCACTGTTCTCACGTCAATCAAGGGTTCGGTTCAGGGAGAAGTAATGCTTTTGTACATTGCCCAGATACCTGAATATTCGACCCTGTTAGTCATTTACGTTTTTGTCATCTGCTCTAGGGTCACCTAACCTGTCCCAGTTCCAATATCCACGACTTTCTACCACTGATATTAGCTGAAACATTGTCTCAGGGGATCGTCGGCGTACCTGAATATCCTTTTCCAAGGGAGCCAAATAAAGTTTGCCGTCAAACACAAGGGATAGGAAGTGGTGGCTGTTTGTTTAACGCGCACATCTTTGGGACATTTGGATGTGAACTCACACAATGTCCATCGACTCGTTCTGCTTTTCGTCATTGGATGCCCTAATAATCCTGGTTAGAAGCTGGAGTGGGACCCCACTATCAGATCATGTACCAATATCTTGCGTTGCCTCTTTCCGAGTGGAATGTCCTGCCGTTAATAGTACGGTATTGAAGGATGCTCGAGGTCAGTGATTCTGTCGACTCCGGGGGGTTAGACCCAAGGGCCGAGTCTGCATCGACACCGCCCTCTTCAGGTTCCTGGACCCATCTCAGACTTAGCAAAGCCTCTGTTTGGTTGAAGGCGAAAATACCTCAGCAAGTTGCTCCCAGTGTGCCACTGAATGCAGTGGTTGAGTCGGAGCGGTTGGGGCGTCTGTCGTGGGACTAGCGGAGTCTCGTTGGCTTGCCATGATGCGTAACTTCAACGTATTTCTATGGTATGATAGATTGTAATAAACAGAGCAAAGGAGAAGATAGCAAGGACGTACCGAGGTGTCTCTTTAATATTCAGCTGTTAACCTCAAGGATGCTCCAATTCGCTCAACTGCAGAAGACAAAAGTGGGCAGTATGTATGCTCATGCAACCCTGAACGAATGACAATGCACAGACCCTTACTCTCATCATTTATCAGTTTCGGTTGGTAGGAGACCTTACTTGCCATCATACCATTCGACGACAACTCAGTTGGGGAAGCGCCTGATGTCCGAAGCGAAGCGGGGTTTGCTCTCGCATGTTGAGTCCATTATGCATCGTGAGGAATTATTTGCAGGGTTGAGCTCTGCAGGCGAGCAATATGTCTGCTGTAGGAATGCCGAGGTTGGAGCACTGGCCAGCCAGTGTCCTTAATTCCCTGTTGTTGTATGTGTCAACAATAGTCGGTGAGACGTGGACTTTGATAGATTGACAAGGGGGTCCATTGTGTTCAAAGATGATGTGTGCGCTAACTAACAAGTTTGGCAATTCGCCGAGATGTTGCATTCAAGCTCTAACTAACATTTTCCTTCCCGTACTCCTCCACCACCTAAACCTTTCTATCTTCACGACCGAAACCTTCTTCCTTCCCGTAAGCCTCATTCCTTCGATATCCACAACATAAGTCGCTCACTGTGCAGGACAGTTGAGTCACTCCTGTGACTTAATGACTTGAAAACCTTGATCCCCCCCCCCATAGCCGACTTCCCCGCTTTACCCACGCAGGTCTTCTTCTCGCTGGGCCTCTCTTAGCTGCTGGATTACGTCTAGTAGGCTATCGATCTAGGCTGTGTTTCTCTTTATAACCTCGACGAATAGGTGCTTATCGGGCTCTTTATCCCTAAGACTTTTAAGTAGCGGTAGCTCTTAGTATTATACGAAGCGCCTAAGGTTCTATAGTGCCCTTAGGCGCTCTAAGGTTATAAGGAATATCTCTCCGCCTAGGATTATGAGCTCGAGATAGACGTCTGGCTTAATGATTTAGTCTGTGGTAGCCCTTATTATATTAATATCCCGAAATAATAATAATTATATATTACGAAGGAGACTATATATCTCACGGAGGGGGCTAGAAGGTAGAAGATATTAGTTCTTATATTAGGTAGCGGCGATATAATTATATAACTTAGTGACTTTAATTACTTAATTAATTATAGTTCTTATAAGTATTAGGTTTAAAGCTATAGTATTAAGAGATTATAGCTTAAGAAGATAAAGAGGTAGATAATTCTTTTATTTCTTATATAGAGGTTAGAGTAATTAAAATACCTATAAGAGGTTAGATTTTTATAATAATATAGCTAGGTATAACTCTTTTATTACTATAGAAGTTTAATTAGGCTATTATATTAATATCGGGTTATAATATTATATTATGTTTGAGATCTATTCTTTATTATAGTTGTAGCCCGGCCCTTGATGGGTTAACTGAGCCTGAAGATCGATAAGGGGGTCATGCGGTGATGACGCAAAGGGAATTCGATTTAACAAGCTATTAAATGTATCTATCGAGAGAAATCTAGAAGTTCTGATAGCCCGAGCAATCAATAAGACTTGCCACTGGGCATAGGCTCGTTGTTCGTACCGCATACACTTCACTTATCATAGCAAGAGAGTATCAGAGCCCAGTGCCTAGCACGTAACGGCGTGAAAATACATTCTAGAAGTATAGCAGCCTAGCTGCTGAAGTATTTTCGAAGAATATGGAATGATGGATTTCACAATTGCTGAGGAGATAGAAGGCAACAGAAAGATAGCTGGGTGCCGCTAAAAGGCAAACGTCTACGCGTTAAACTGAGTCTACGCAGATATAAGTAGAGTTCCACAGTCGACAATTTTCTTGTTTGAACAGAGTTCTATTATCTTCAGTCAGCGGTCCTCCGGCTCATGCCTACATGGATCATAGTGAAATGCATCTTTCATCTCTCCCACCAGGAGCGCTAACGGCTGGATGCATCACCGCAAGGACTACTATGCAGCACATATATGGATGCGCATAACCATCTGGCATGGGTACAAGGGTCACTACGAGCATACTTTCAAGGAGCGCCTATAACATCAAATGCGCGGAATTGCTTACGAGCAAAAACTTGATAATATGAAGCGCTGCAGAGCGTTGTTCGTAACTCGAAGGTTACTAGAGTTGGAGGAACATCGTTCGAAAGACCGCAGTTCAGATTCCTACAAAGAATAATTTACATAGAAATAGCTCCCCCATCAAGCTTTGTCAAATACCTCTTCTCAATCACGCAATAGTCCCCTGGGCCCAGAAGACACCACGACCGTTGGTTCCAACGTAAACCTGGCCTGCATTGTTGCCGCTACCCTCCAGTCTACAAGAGTCGATGGCTCCAAACATGATAGAGCCCTGGATATCACTCCAAGTCTTGCCCTGGTCAGCACTGCCGTACAGCTTAGCCCCAGCAGAGCCAGTGCCGAAAGCATACACATTCCAGGTGCTGCCCGAGCCACGGCCGAGAGCGATCTGATATGTGCTCGACAAAGAAGATGAGACCTTGCTGAAGGAGCTTCCAAAATCGGTGCTGTGGAAAATTCCAGCGTCCGTGGACACCCAAACGTCTCCGGCCTTGGTAGGATGCACAGCGATATCACGGATCGACTGGACAGAGCTGAGAGAACCACCCTGGCTGAAGCTTGATCCTTGGTTGCTGGAGACATAAAAAGTTGAACCAGAGCCAGCGTAAAAGTACTTGTTGTTGCGCTTGTCACTGGCGATAACAGCTCCTGACGGCACGCTAGAGACAGCGGTAAAGGTTCCCTGGTTTTGAGATCGGAGAACACCCTGGTTTCCTGAAGACCAGATAATCACATCTGCATCAGCGGAATAAGCGATGGAGCCGGCAGACTGAGAGGTAGAGGCGCCATTGTGGACGTTCCAGGAGACGCCTCCGTTGTTGGAAATAGCAACCTGTCGTGTGCCTTGAGTGTTGCCCACTCGGACCACGTTTTCAACCTTGTTGCCTGCGTAGTCAACGCCCACGGATCCAGTGAACATGGGGTTATCCCAAGCGGACTGGGGAGCTGTGCTGAGAGAAGTCTTTGTCGCAAACGTGAAGCCACTGTCGTCGCCAACACCCGCCAGGAGCTCGCTGCCTCCAGGGGCAGACTTAAGTTCCAGCACCGCAAACTCCTCAATGCCATCAGCAAGTGACTGGATGCTGATTTTCTGGTTAGAATCCCACTTTGTGAGGTCATGTCCACCATAGACGGTCAAGCCTGTGCCGTAAAGCCAGTGATTGCTGTCAAAGGGGTCAATGGACAGAGCCTCAATCATCCACCCCAAGCGCTTCGTGTCGATCGAGATGAAGTTCTTGTAGATCCACGGAGCCTTTGGAGTAGAGATGTCATAGTTGTACTCCAAGCTACCACTCGCGCCATAGGCCCACAGCTTCGACCAAGTGTTACCCGAGTCGGTAGATCGGAAGATCTGGGCATCGGGATACCACGAGTTGAGTGACGCAACAACCAGGGTTCCAGGCTTTTGAAGGTCAACGTCCAAGCCACCGAAACCAAAGTAGATATCGCCAGATGGAGTGATGTCCTTCCAGGTTCCAGCCGAGATGTCGTACCGGTAGACGGCACCAGAGCTGCCATCATAAGGGCCAGTGCCATCGCTATAAGAGAGGTACAGAGCCTTCTCCTCAGGCTGAAGCTTAGCCTTGTGTGGGAAGTATTTCCCAGGTTGGTTGGGGACAGCAGTCCAGGTCTGGCCTGCATTGGTCGACACATAAACGGATGCAGTCTTGTTATCGGCAACACCAACAAAGATCCTCGAAGTTGCGCCATTAAGGGTGGATGAAGTCGAATCAAAAGTGACAAAGGTGAGACCTTGCAGGTCGTTGTTATATCCAGACGAATCGCTGGGATCCGGGGCAAAGGTTCCGACGTTGGTGAAAGACGTCACCTTGCTGAAGCTGACACCGCCGTCGGTACTCTTCCAGAGACCGTTGCCGCTGCGGGCGCCGAAATAGATGATCTTGGAATTCTTGGGGTCTACTGCGAGACGTTCGCCCATTCCTCGGCCTGGCATGTTACCACCAACCTTGAAAGGGAGGTCGGTGAAGGTCCAGGTGGCACCTTTGTCGTTACTCCGCCCAATGGCACCATTGTTTGGGTCCCTATTCTCTTTGCATTAGCCAGGTGTACAATGGAACATCTTAGTTGCCACTTGCCAGTTATTGGTGTACATGCCAACGGCTGTGTAGACCTTGTTGGGATCTGAGGGGTCGAGGGCCAAGGCATCAATACCCCAGCGGTTCCTTGGCGAGTTTCAGTATCGACTCTCTCTAAGTAGATATGTGAATCTATCCATACCACTTAGCGTTGGTGGCGGTAGTATCCGTCACAGCTGTCCAAGAATCATCTGAATTGAGCCGATAGAGGCCACCAATGTCGGTTCGCGCATAGGCAACGCCCTTGGACTTTGGGTGGAACTCAATGCCAGCAACGAAGCCGCCGCCACCACCGATGCGGACATTCTTCCAATCGAGCGCCGCCAAAGCGACACTCGCTGAACCGAGAAGGAGGGAAAGGACCTTCATTGTTGGAGGCTGAAGAGCCGATAGGTGCAGAAAAGATGGTTTGGTAGACACAACTATGGGAGAACAACGGCTTAGAAGCAGGATATATATAAAACAAATTCATGACACCACCTCCGTGAGCAATTAGCATAGACTCCTACCCTTGTAGCCATGTTTCGGATAGTAGGCACTGACCTGGGGGATTAGGCTCGGACTGTGACCAAAGTTGGCCAAGCTCCGTGATTTGTTCGTGGGTTCAGACGAAATTACAGGGCAAATCTTCCCACCTAATTAAATCTTGACAAATGGATAGATGGGCTGATGCAGCACATACGGGATGAAATGCCTTGTCGAGCCACGGACATATCCTCCGGCTGCCTCTTCAAGTAGGCGCCTCTGGGTCTCATGAGTCTATACTCTTGGCCGTGATCTGAATAGTGATCCCATCATCGTCACCGGACTCGACAAGGTTACATTAGTGTCAATTTCGGGACATTTTCCTTTCGACATGGTCCGAAGCTCCCGCAATCCCAAGTCGATCTCGGTAGTCCGTCCAGCAACTTGCCACCAATCAATCGAGAGATTTACCGTCACAGCCGGTGGCTAAAATAGAGTAGAAGAAGCAACTTAGGCTAAGATCTCTGAAGCTCCAGTAGCAAGTTTGACACGAGATTGCCAGGGTTAACTTTAATACCCACACCTCGCGCCAAGCCGTTTCGAGTAGAAGATCAAGGGGATCTGGTAATTAGAACGGATGAGCCGAGAACTTAATTGTCGGCGCTGTCGGTCTCGTGGAGACCCCGATGCTTCTGGTTAAATAAGGACAGTGTCTAGCATTGGGCCTCGGTACCAGGCAACTCATGACAGCCCTATCAGCTGGGAGCGAGATCTCACCAACTCCTATCATATTCTAGCTCGGTGTAGGCATGATAGGCTGGCGATAGAGCAACCCGAGGTTGAAATGAATCGGCAGGCAAACGAGACGTATCATTCACTCTTAGAGTTGGGGCATCTGATGAGCAGTACGTAGGTATCACAAAGGTCTGCTAGGAGGCTAAGAGAAGAATCCTGTATTTAACCGGTGGCGCTCAACACTTTCATTACCCCTCAACGGCAGCAATCCCTTTGTCGTCCCTGGCGAGTTCAGCCTGATTATAGTCTTCATCATTTGAGGGTAGCTGTAAATGAACCGCCGTGATGGGGGCTGCCGCAATGGTCAAATCGTCGCCACTTTCCAAGGTCAACACATGACCACCCGAGTCCCGATTTTCCGAGATGAAATGCAGGTGATCACCGGCAACACTGACCCCCTGCATAAAAACCGGTGACCTGAAGCCAATAATCGTGCCCCGGACTTGCTCAAACGAGTGGGAGACCTGCCGTTTTCCGAGCTCGGCAAGCCTCTCCCCCGGAGACTTCTGGCCGCCAACGGTACGGACCGTCACTGCCTTGAAGACTCCGTCCACCCTGAAAGCCACATAGTGATTCTTGGTGCCCGGGAGAAGCTGTGATAGGGCCTGTGCCAACGTGTCTTTGTTCTGCAGGGGCCTCGAGATCGTAGCTGTGGGTTCAAACCGAGTGACCATAGCGAAAGGCGCCGATTGCTCTGCACATGCGGTGCTATCAATGGCAACAACTGAACCATCGGGTTTCATGTCGTAGATGACCCCATCGAGGATGATCATTTCGCCCACCATGTGTCGGAACGTGCCGAGACCGTGATCCCCGTGAGCGACGAGGTCTGAGATGGTGATGCCGGTCTCGGCGACACCATCCATGAGAGCTGAGACTACAGAGTATTGAAAAAGCTGATTGGACGACATGCTGGGTGTAATCTTGAAAGTAGGGTGTGAAGATGAAGGGGAAGAACTGGTGGAGAGACGCTGCGTTGGAGAATCAGGCAAGGCAGGTATATGCACTAACCAATAAGGAGTATGCTAGATACGTCATCGAAGAAGTGGTGCCTTTGGACTGGCGGTACTGTTTCCGTTTGATACTTGATAACACAATGTGATAGGCGAGTAACCTGATATACCACTTCGACCAATAGCACACATAATATCATTTCACCTAAAAATGAGTTAGAAATGTTGATTTAACTGATATGCAAGTCAGATGCTGTGCTTTTGCCGACAAGTCCTCCTTAGACCGCTAAGAAGAATCCGGCGACTTGCCAAATCGGGAGGGGTCTCTTCGCCATCATTGTTACCTTGAATCAGAATCGAATAGAAATCAAATGCAAATCGAATGAAAACTGAATGAAAGTCGAATCAGATTTGAATCAAATTCCAATCAAATTCGTTTCTAATGGCCATCCGTAGCTACGCCCCTATAAAACCACTTTGATAAAAGACACAACTGCCGCCATCCATACCAAGATGCACTCTCCTCGATACCTGGGTTTCAAGAAAGAATACTCTTCAGAAGCATGCTAAGTCTCAGGCGGGGGATAAAACATGGAGCGGATCCAGTTCCCCAGCCTCACAGACGCCGCTTTGGGCCGAGATCTTATCCGAAGACTCCAGTCAACAGGAACAGATCCACTCAGGGCTTACCCTCTCGCTTGACAACGAGGCAGCCATGCTAGTTGAAATTGCAAGCCGACCTTCCATCCAAGAAAGCACCTTGGCGCAGCGGCAGCGCGGTATGTTTACACTCAATCTTCAAGGTTCAATTTCTCCTACTAACTTCCCACAGCCGGGCTCATAACCCGGAGGTGTAAGCAACACTCAACCATCCATCCACAGGATTCCATCTAACATACAAATCAGCACTCGATCGAAGCGAGTAGGTGCTACTCAACATCCTTTTTTTGCTCTTTGTCTCTTTTTGCATAGTATATCAGCTATTCTTTCTCATTAGTCGTTGCTCAAGATGTCGCCTTGCCGTGACTTTCATATTGCGGAGCAAGAATATAATTCTGGCGGTCCGAAAGGGGGCCAAAACTCTCCCCGGGACCATCGTGGATGCCATCGAAGTATCAGTCCGTCTCGGCATCTACTATCTCTGGATCGATTCCTTGTGCATCATCCAAGATGACCCAGAGGATGTTGCGAGAGAGATCAACAAGATGGCCGACATATATCAGGGAACAACAGTCACCATCTCAGCGGCGAGCTCTTCTTGCTATCGTGATGGGTTTTTGAATACTCGCCAAGCACACGTACAAAGCAAGCCAAAGTTCAAGTTTCCTTTAACATGTTTGGATGGCAAATTGAGTACAGTCTTCCTGCTCCTTCACCAGTCTGGATACCCATACCGAGACTGGGTTCCGGGCCCTATCAATAGCAGAGCATGGACATTGCAAGAGCATGTACTGTCTCCTAGAATCTTATACTACTCTTCTCAACAGTTGCACTGGTTCTGTAAGGAGACAAGAGCCAGTGACGGTGGGCTAAGCCTAGAGCAGGCTAAGCCTAGCCCCTTCGACGTGACCATGCTGAGCTTCTCCATGGGTCGGGCTGCGATAACTTCAACATCCTGGGAATTGTCTTGGAAAGACCTTCTTAGCTCTTACTTGTTCCGTGGCTTGACAAATCCTATGGATCGACTCTCTGCAATCTCGGCCGTTGGCGAAGAGCTTGCGAGAGTAAACCACACTTCATTCGTGGCAGGATTGTTTAAAGCCACATTCGCTCACAATCTTTGTTGGAATCAAGTGAGGTCGTCCCCTATCCAGCCACGGCCTGCAACATATCGCGCTCCGTCTTGGTCGTGGGCAGCTATGGATGGGCCTATCCTTTTGTCTGAAGAGCATCAAGATTACACCATTATGGTAGATATTCTTGACTGCCAGGTCATACTACTGTTTCCTCAGGCCAAGCATGGCCCCATCGGGTCTGCCTATCTCGCGTTACTCGGCTGGGTCGCGCCAGCAATCCTCAGCGCAAAGCCACCCGGTCAACACCGTCGGATAATGATGGTGACAGCTGAGTGGTGGGAGGTGGTCGATGAGAAGGACTTAGATGCCACAGACCCGGAGCTTGAGAAAGGGGAGCCTATATCTATCTGGCTTATTTGGATGCTGCGGGCTGCACCACCAGCTGCCTGCTTGATGTTCTCAGGACTGATGGTTGTGCCTGATGGGACAAGTACTGAAAGGTTTCGACGAATCGGGTACCACTCATCTCGAGGAGCCCAGGCATTAGAGACAGGATATGATCGAGGATTAGGCACCCGTAACCAACACAAATTGACCTGGAGCGCTTTCCAGAGGCGGTTAATCACAATTGTGTAATTTAGCTCTATCGAGATATCTACTATCTCACTCCTAAGTTTCTGTAAGTGCCGGTTTTGTAGAATGTGAGCCTACAACTACATTGCTACATCCCTATCCCCGTCTTCACACATTGTGGGTTATGGTTGGAAGCCCTGGCCTCACAATCACGGAGCCTATTTGATGAAAGCATTTCATGAACTTTGAGAGTGCAATTTGACTGTAGGAACGACAAAGGTCAAGTAGGTTTTCCATTTCAGCACAGAGCAACGTAAGGTAATGCCACTGCCTTGTCTCGATGAGAAACCCATGACGCGAGTGAAGCCAGCTTCCACCAGCACCAATACCTCATCTCGGAATTCACCTTGGCAGTATCAGTAGGCATGTGGATGAGTCCAACATCAGTCCGGATACAGGTCCCAATGTCCAACTACTGGTAGTTGATCTCAACCTTCTGTTGGGGTTCTATCATTGCGTTTAGCTCCTAGACAGCCACTCTTAATGGTCTAACATACCGTTGAGAAGGGTTGCAAAGAGGCGATTGTCGATAGCAACGAGAGGCGACCCTGGAGAGTTCAAAGTCAACGTACAGAACTGCACAAAGCCTCTAACATACGTACCTGTGAATTTCAGAACAACCGAGTCCCCCTCCTCTACAGCAAAAACTGGCTGGATGCTATCCTCTTGTCCAGCCTTGAACCAGTAAACACGCTTGGGCAAAAGGCTCCGATCCTCGACCTGGAAGCGGCCCAGGAACCAACCATTAGACTGGAGATGGCAGTCATTGAGGGTGAAGACGGCGGCGTCGTTCCCAGTTGTGGCATGAATGCGATCATCGCCATTTTCAACTGGAGGTGCGACCTTCTGGCCGTCGACAGTGATGGTGAAGGGTCTGGTGAGAGATTCCATGGTGTCTCTGAGTGTCACAAGATTGTTGTCTGTCAAGTATTTATTGGGTGAAGAAGCTGTGCTGTGGTGAAGGTCACCATTTCTGAGGGGCGTTAGAGGTATTTATACTGATATGCCTCTGGTCTACTACCTTGCGTCAAAAAACTTCCACGGACTAGGCTTGTCTATTACCAAGTTTGTTCTCCCCTCTCATCTTGCGGAAAGATTGGCACAGCCTCCACGGTTGCACGTCTGAGATCCAGCGTGCCTGGTGTAACCACCCCTCCATGCCTTCTGCATCTTGGCAATCACCAATACCAACTACCGACAGAAGCAGGCGGGCAAGATCGCTTCTCAGATGTGAGACAAGAGGTGGAGGCCAGATGGCAAAGCTGAGGGCAGAGTGGAGATGTCAGACGGGAAGCTCCAGCTGCTGGACAAGTGAAAGGCCTCAAAAGAGGGGAATGTGTCTCTGACTTCATGTCTTCGCCACTGATTCGACAGACTTGAGCGGGTGAAACCTTTCCTCGCCCTGCAACACTGAGACACAGAAACCAAGCGGCTTTAGACATGGTCAATTCCAAACTCGCGCAACTTCGGCTTGGGCATTCCGAACGATGGAACTGGGCACTTCAGCATGTATGTAGTACGGACATCTTCAAGGAGATATTGCGCTCATCTTGTTAACCTCCATTATCCAACCTCGTCCTATACCACATAATGTAGGACACCATGGTGGGCTTGACATTTGTCATGCATTTGCACCTGTATCCATACTGTGCACGCTTCCCACCGCTCAGAAAGAGACACCGTCATCAGCGGCTGAATACGAAGCTCTATCATCAATGACGTGGCTCGGTTCAGCTTGGTGGGGGAGGAGACGGCCCGTCCCTGCATATGCATGAAATGAGATTCGGGCGAGATTCAGACGATCTTAAAACAGATGGACGAATCTGATCGTCGAAACCCCCCCTTCGGCTAATGTGGTCTCAATTCCGCACAGTCCCCTCCTGGGGTTCTGTGGTACCGGTACTTCCATATGGCAAAACAACGTTGCCCAGGTCACTCAGCAGAGGATGAACAGCTCATGGGTCCTCCACAAATAGTGTGGTACGTTGAGGGGCCACAACATGCCATGCCTGATACTGTGTCTTGTTGCTGACCGCCTCACCTGTGCTATCATCTTCAAACAGCCATTCCTAGTGAGACCGAAAGTCCATCACGGCTGATAGATGAGGGGACACTCGTGTTATCGAACCGACTTGTAACGGATCACACAATCTCGGAATGGCGATATGCTATTAAAACACGTGGCATGAGTCGAGAAAACGGAGATCGCTATCAGGGGATACCGTTGGGGGAGACAGAATAACGTGAGCATGATGGCTCAGTCTCGTCGAGAACTTATGTTGCTTGGCGAGAAGAATGTGCTCTCAGGAGTTCTCAATTGTACAAATTATTCTTATACTTGCAACAAGCATAATCACAACGCAAAGGCTTTGCCTTCACATGACACAAGTTCAAGATTCGAATCAGTGGCCTTAGGTGTCAGAATACCTTGGCAGGGCGGGGGATGGGGAGGGAAGAGCTTGAGTAATGGGACCTTCTCTTCTCTTCTCAGGAGAGCAACATCATGCATGTATGATCTTACCTTTGTTTATATCATCTATAATGGACTTTTTTGCTCCTCGGTAGGTCCATTATTGGATAACCAGCTATTTCGGTGAGGCATGGGGAAGTTCTTCCACGGCCTTTCTAGCACTGCCAGCAACCAAATGTACTGAATTCACATTCACGTATGCATGTACTTTGCGTTTCAATTCTCCCCAAAGCCGCATGAAGTAAGGCACCAATGCCCATCTGCGAAACCGGCAATCCTTCAATCAACTAATCATTACCATAAAACTGCTCAACCATTCTGATCATCAGCGTTAAGAGTCTCGAGCAGCGAAAGAGGAAATATTTTAGCGACGGCATGACAGGGGACACAGGCCGCTAATTAATCAGGCCTCACCGATTCGTAGCGCCCGCCCGTATTGGCTGGTTCACCACTGCGCTGCGCCGCGATCCCTGTGGCGCATCGCTGACAGTCCAGATGGGGTCAGCTTTGCGACATGGCTCCATGTTTGCTTTATCTTCTTAACCGAGCTTACATTCGTAGACTGGACTTTTCTCTTCTCCTCTATCTTGACCGACTGGCACATCAATGTCCAGGCCGCCATGGTCCTCAAGCCCTTCATATTTGCGGCCGTGTCGCTGCTCATCACGTACCTCATCGCCAAGCTACGCTTCAAACGATTTAAGCAGTATGCACATCTTCCACAATTGCCACCCTCCTTGATATGGGGGCATATGCTCGTGTACGATGAGATCTCCAAACATGCACAAGGGATAGACATCCAGGTACAGCAGCCCCTTGCTCAACATCATTCGACACTAATCCGTAGCAGATCTCATCTTTGCCGAGATGTACGAGAAACTTGGAAGGCCACCGTTGATCTTTGTTGACATGCGACCCGTCTCAAATCCCGTGGCCCTCATCACAAGCCACGATGTTGCTGAACAAGTGGCCAAGTCTTCGGCTCTTTTCCCATGGAGCACACCTAAGACGCCTACCATGAAGGATATTATCCATCTGCTTGGTCCGTCATCTCTAATCAGCGCAGAGGTAAGATTCGTCCATGATGGATCATCCACTCTCATAGTGACACTTTCTAGGGCGAGGACTGGAGGAAACTCCGAAAGCGATTTGCACCTGGCTTTGCGCCGAACCAACTGATGACCCTCCTTCCTTGCATATTGGACAAAACTGAGCCGTTTATCAACCGCCTTGAGGATCACGCCCGTTCAGGCGAACAGTTTTCCCTTTTGACCTTGATAGTCAATCTCACGATTGATGTTATCAGCGCTGTCGCCATGGACGAAGACCTTGAAGCTCAGACCATTGATCCATCTGGTCAGAGTCAAGTCATCCGCCTCTTCATGGAACTGTTGAGTACCTACTCAAGCAGACATAATCTGCCCTGGTGGCTAGCCCCCAGCTTGGGAGCAAAGCGCCGCCGGCTCGCTGGACAAGTCGATGGGATGCTACGAGATATTGTGCAGCGCAAGTTTGAGGAGCATCAAAAGACTAGCGGAGGAAACAAGCCACGCAACATCCTTTCGCTAAGTTTTCAGGACATCGATGAGCTCACGCCTGAACTTCTCAGCCATACTTCGGATCAGATGAAGAGTTTCTTCTTCGCCGGCCACGATACAGCCAGCATCCTCCTCTCTTGGACTTTTTATGAGCTCTCTCGGAGCCCCCGAGTTCAAAAAGCGGTTCGGGCTGAACTGGACGAACTGTTCGGACCTGATCCTGACCCGTCTGTTGTGCGATCCAATCTCTACGCCAATGGGGAGGATCTTGTTCGCCGCATGACATATGTGTCAGCCGTGATTAAAGAGGTTCTCCGAATACACCCTCCGGCAGGAACTGGTCGCTATGCAGAACCTGGGTCTGGATTCACAGTCCGTACATCAACAGGAGAGGAACTCTGCTTGGACGGCACCATCATATACAACTGCCAGCACATTATCCACCGTGACCCGACCGTCTACGGCACCTCGGCCAATGATTTCGTGCCAGAACGATGGCTTGGTGAGACCAGCGCGTGGGGTTTTATACCCAGTGCTTGGAGACCGTTTGAACGAGGCCCACGCAACTGCATCGGCCAAGAGCTTGCGAATATTGAGGCCCGTGTCATCATTGCCATTGTTGCGCGTCATTTTGACTTTGTCAAAGTTGGTCTAGGCGAACTTGAGCTGGATGAAAATGGCCGGCCTATCCTAAACGACAAAGATCAGTACAAGGTCAAGTCAGAGTTGTACCCTGTGAGTCAAGCAAGGCGGACAGTTCGAGGGAGTTCAAGTAGCTAACTCCGTTTAGATGTTGCAAGTAACAATCAAGCCAGTTGATGGAATGATGGTGAAGGTCGAGCATGCTGATCAGTAACACGAGTGTTGAAGACACCGTCAAGGATGAAACCTTGCGATAGAGAAGGCGACGTAATGAAAGGCAAGCTTCTATGGCATTGAATATTCTAACATTGACTGGTCAGTCAATTGCCTTCGTTTGTAGATAGATATTATCACCTACAGCAGGAAACACACAACATTGAACGCGTTGGTGAAAATAAGAGTCAGAGCCACAAAACGCGGCTGTGCCAACAGTTTTGCCAGTTCCTAAGAAATGACTCACTTTTGCCCAAGGTGCTATCATTTTCTTCATGACCTTACCATTTACAGTATTTAGGGAGTCATCTTACCTGCTCTTGGCCCCCAAAGGGTTCGCCTGCATCGCCACAAGGCGCAAGGCCCGTGTCGGTCGCCTTGTCCAGCAACCAACAACGTTGCTGCCTGGGGTCAGAAGGATGATCAACATCCAAGGAAGGCGGGGGGGCCCTCGTTATTGGCTTGAAATGATCACCATCCATAGCTGGGATCTAATTCGATTGCACCCCTGTTTGCTAGCTGATTCAGCATCAACGATGTTTGCTGTAGATCCCTATATAACACTCGAAGTCGCCGCACCTTTGTTGAACTCACCAATACTTATCTGTTTTATCATAACAAGTCTAAGCATCGAGTTTACCATCAAGTTACACAATCATGCAATCCGAAACCCAGCCTGCTAAGCAACCCGTCGAGAAGGTATGCGCTTCCGACCAGACTCCCGAGCAGGCCATCAACAAAACCAGCACTTTCGACCAGAGTCTCTACCCATTCGATACTGCCAAGGACCAGCTCGAGCTGAGCAAGCTCCTAAGGAACTTCAAACATGACCTCACTCTCCACGGCGTCACGTCCCTAGGCACAGATGGCATATTCCGCTCCCTCACGGCCGACCGGGAGGTTGTTGACGCTGCTCCTTTCTCGCCACGTCAGATTAAGGCCCTACTCGACCGCATGCCTTTTAACCCTGAGAACGAGACCAAGTTTCGTGGCGTCGACGGCCGTGGTGTTCCACAAGAGCGGTGGTTCCACCCCGATAAGAGCTTGCTGCCACCACCACTGCAGCTCACGGATGAGCAACGGAGGTTCGGAGAGGCTAACAAGGAGAAGAATCGAAAGATGCTCGAGGAGAGGGCGAATAGGCCCCGGTGTCCACTTCAGATTGTGTCGGATCATGACCTTGGGTTGAGGGTGGTCCCTGACAAGGAGGGAAACTGAAGTCGTGCTGGTAGAACGAATACCTAGAACAAGTATCAGTGACCTGGGAGCGCACGGGAACGCAAGCTATTCTGATTCAGACTTACTTTCTTGCTCGAGATCTTGTATCCACAATAAACTGTCGCTTCCTCTCTCGCCGCTGCTCACTCCCCAGTAGGGTATTAGTGCTAGATAGCATGTCCAGTAGATATACCACAACTGATCTACTTCGTCCATCCTTTGCTTTTCGTCAACTAAGCAATACCAATGTTCTCTGTTGTAGTCGTTGTCGTCGAGGCTGCATAACTCTGGACCAAGTCATCAGTCAGTGGTAAAGTAGACGGTTCCGATACATGATAATATTCTCCTCTCTTCGTACTTGATACTTCTTTCTACTACAAATACCTAATCAGGAAATTGTGACGACGCTCCACCTTCAAGTAATGCCAAGACCCGTATCCAGTCACCCAAGAGACCAGGATTCAACGGTGGGATCAGGTGAGATTATTTCTTTCGTCCATTAGTCATTAAACCCATCTTCAAACCCCACGTGGTCTCGTACTGTGGAGGCCTGTCTTCTCCACGAATTCTCAACTCAACTCCAGCGACAATACGCAGTAGTCTCGTGATACCGGTGATCATGACAACAGGCTCTTGCGCGACGATTGAGTTGGCTCCCATCGAACCCCAGGCGCGTTATCCGCCTCTGAGACATGATGTCCAAGCAGAGGAGCGTCCCAGCTTTGGGAGTTCACGTCGCACGTTGGCTCAGAACGGCATCTTTGAGTCTGGCCAATCGCAGAATGTCGTTGAAGTGACACAAAAATGGAACAACCCAAAGATCAACGTCTTTCGTGTCGCAGCATGCTCTTGGGGCTTCTTGGTTATGGGCGCGAATGATGTTGTATACGGTGTAAGGTCGCCGAATATTATCTACTCAAGGCACTCGCTAATGAAGAACACAACCAATAGGCACTCATCCCTTATGTATTGCCCCTACCCGCACAGGCATCTACATCACCTCGCTAATCATATTCCTAGATTGAAGAAGACTACGGCGTCGATTATGTTGTCTTGTCCATCGTCTTCCTCTCCCGGTTCGCGGGCTACATCGCCTCGGCAACTCTCAACGACTACTTTCACCAGAAGTTAGGTCTGCGCGGCATCCCTATGCTATGCGCTGGTTGTCATATCGCCTCTCATCTCACTATAGTGTTCCATCCACCATACATGGTGACGGTCATGGCCTTCATCGTCGCGGGCTTTGGCCATGGTCTGTTCGATTCGGCACTCAACGGCTGGATCAGCACTTTGGCCAACTCTACGAGGATACTCAGTTTTACGGGTGCATTTTATGCTTTCGGAGCCATGTTGAGTCCTCTTATTGCGACGATAATGATCACCAAGGCGCATATACCTTGGTATTCCTTCTTCTACGTCATGGTAGGTGATGCTGCCGTGGTCATTGTCAAAGCTAACGGTCCAGCTCGGCATGTCCATCATAGAGCTCGTCAGCCTCACATGGTCATTCTGGGATGCAACTAACCTTGGTCACCGGAGCACAGCCAACGAGACCGAAGCAGAGCGTGAGAATACGCTGACGGCCGCCCTGTTCCGGATGCCAGCTGCTCGAGTATCGTGGCTTTGCGCCTTCTTGATGTTTTGCTACGTGGGCATCGAGAATGCCTTGGGTGGCTGGATCGTGCTGTTTATGGCAACGGCACGAGGAGGCGAAGCATTTGAGAGCGGTCTAACAGCCACATGGTTTTGGCTTGGACTAGCCCTTGGGCGAATAGTGCTGGGTTTTGCGACTCCGCGGCTTGGCGTCAAGATTGCACTGACGGTGAGTTTGTTTGCTTGAGTTGGTTGCCTGGTGCTGACAGGATGGCTTATGACAGGTGTACATTACGACAGCTCTTGGCTTGGGGCTGGTGTTTGTGCTCGTCCCTCGCTTCCTTGTTTCCGCAATCGTCGTCGCTCTCCAAGGTTTTTTCCTGGGGCCTCTCTATCCGGGAGTGGTCATTGTGGCCAGCAAACTCCTCCCAGAACACCTCAAGGTGAGGGTGATTGGGTTTGCTACTGCGATGGGAGGGTGTGGCGCGGCGCTTCTGCCTTTCTCGGTCGGTGTGTTGGCTCAGTTGGCCAGCGTGCAAGTGCTGCAACCCACGGTCATGGTTATAACGGGTATCATGTTGGCTTCATGGTTGTGTTTGCCCAAGATTGACAAGAGGCAAGATTAGTGGTATCTCGGCTTGTATACGTAAAATCTGATGCAAGAATGGCGAGTGTTTTGTTGGTAAACAACGGGAGAAAAGTGGCGATTTGACACGGGAATATGAGGCCGGCAATAGTGGTATTTTATCGTACTCGCCTCTCTCCTGACGAGAATTGCATGATGGGGCTCGATTTGACGAGATTTACGTGGAGCAACAGCGGCGAGTCGACGTGCGTAAACATGCCTGAAAAATACGAGATGGCTCGTGTGCCCAGCCAGAGCAACGCAACGGCCAATGTGTCTTGCAGGGGGTGGGGCGGTCAAGCCGGTTTGTGGAAATGTGCATGATCACAGGGACGAGAATGACCAAAAGTCGATTGGAAGGGAGGTTTCCATGGCGTTGGTTAGCATTTCAGCTGCTCATACTACGTAGTAAGGCGGCCTGGTGTGGCGTCGAAACTAGTGAAGCCATCTTCAGCCCTGGCAGGGAGGGTTCTGTCACTGTTCCGGAAGGGGATTAAGCTTAGTTGCTCGCTCATTTGCATGAAATGTGAGGTCAATCAATGTCTGGCATAACTACTACGTAGTAGAACTGCCTGCCTCCCCAGTCTCTCCTGTAACGGGTAACGAGTGATCCATTGGAAGGGAACGCCACGTCAAACGGACTTGTCCGGGTCAACGGGCCTCGGCAGCTATTTATGTCGCAGGAGACCATTGGCTCCAGCAAAGAAGCACTGCCCCGGGCCTTGAAAAGCCGGCGCTAAGGTCCAGTGGCTGACCTCTGTCTGGAACTATTCCCCCAAGCGCCAGGGCCTAGAACTGCCCAGCCACGAGCAGTGCCACCACCTGAAAGTGTCCACCAGGTCCCCTCAGACCCGGCCTTTAGTGGTCCCCGAGAGAAAAAGGGAGGGAGCTTGCTCGGTGCCTATATAAACAAACCATGACCAAGCTGTTCAAGGGTTCGGCTTCTTTGCGTGTTCTAAATTCCAGTCTATTCGATTCTATTTACCATTTACAGATTTACAACGTCATATTCGCTTCTACTCTAATCACCATTTAATCGCCACCGCCGATATGCGCTTTGCTCAAAGCCTTCTCCTGGGCCTGTTGGTCGGACATGGCCTGGCGCAAACAGCCGTTGAGCCTGTTGAGGAGCAGCCAAGCGCCGTTGCCCCCCAGAACCCTTCGGAGCCCGCCGCCGAGGAGCCTTCAGCAGCTGCTCCTGTCGCTGAACCCACACAAGACAACAGCTCCCCCGAGCCAACCGCCGACACCGAAGAGCCCGCGCAATCTGCCGCTGCCCCCCAAGAATCGGAGCCTGCTGCTACTGGATCGACCGAGGAACCCACAGATGCCGAGGAGGAGCCTTCAGCAGGAGTCACTGCGACCAACGACAACAGCGAGCCCACAGAAGCTCCCGAGGCGACAGGGACAGCAGAAGAAGAAGGTATGAAGACATGATGCATTGCTTGGTCGCATCATTTGCTAACAAGACCGTCAATAGTTTCCGCGACCGCCGACGATGACGATTCCGTA